CAGCCATGAGCGGAAGACTTTAAGTTATTGAGTTGACTTTGACAGTTTAATCATGCCTGGCCCTGCACCGGGTTTTGCCGGTCTGCTGACCTGTGCCTATTCAGTATCATGTCAAACATTAAATCCACTCTAATTGGCCGGTCAAGTCTTTGAAGGGTAAGTGATAAGCAAGATGGGGGCGGCTGTGTTTGCTCTTTTGTGTTTTGAAGGGGTGTGTAGAGGGGGTTTTTGAGGTCAGTAGGCTTTTGAGGTCAGGGGGTAGAGGGACCCCCCCCCTCTTCAGGACTGGGTTGAATTGTCCTGCTGGCTCTTCAGCCCCACAATCAGAACTCCATAAAGAGTAATAACTGCTGGGGAATGTTATTTAATAAGTATGAGTGTGTGTGTGTGTGAGACACAAACACACACACACACCTCAGGGCAAGGAGATAGCTTATCGTGGTCCCCAATTCCTGCAGCAGAAAAAACAATCCCCTCTCACCAACAACAAACTAAAGCTTAACTTCCTCTCAAGGAACAAAAACAGGAATCTTTCACACACATACATTCCAGTGGAGAGGCCCGAAACACACTTAACACAAATGTTGGTCTATACACCTGAAAATATACAGAAGACCAGCAGAGGGATTTTAGGTATATCCAGGCCCACACTCAGAAGCACTTGCTCTCATGGAGGGTCCCACCGCAGGAATGTAAAGTGTAATCACTCACACATTTCCCTCGAGCAAAGCAATGAAAAACCTTCACCTTAATTTTAACAAAACGTCTCCTTTCATAAACAAACACAGCATCAACCCCCAACTCCACTTCCCCCCCACATCTGCCCTAATCACACCATCCATTCCGGCCAATTTAGGGAGCGCGTGTGGGGTGCAAGGTCTCAGAAGTGCAAGCGAGCGCTGTGGTTTCCTGGTCATTGGCTTTTTGGAATGCTTGACTTGACAGAACGGTTCAGCAGAAACCACTTCAATCACAGGCCCAGCGATCCACCGGGGGCTGAGGTGCTGAGACACACACATAGTTAATGGAGCCTGGTGAAACCTCGAGTTCAACTTGGTACAAAGACTGCACTTCTCATTTCAATGTCAGATCGCTCTGGTAGAAAAATGATTTGCTGACAATGAAGTGTTTATGCCATATTATCAAGTTACAACAAAGAACACTGAACAAAGCCGTCGGTTTGTTCAGTGTTTGGTACTTTCTTTTCAGACTCTGGTCCCAAAAATGCAAAGTCAGAGTGCTGAAAATAAGCTGCGAGGAAGTAGAAAGATAGGAAATAGATGACATAAGCTACAAGAGAGCTGAGTGAAAACAACAGGCCACAGCATCATGGCTGTCTAGGCATTCTCAGTGTCTGGTTTGCAAGGGGGGGTTGGTACAGGAATAAATGAGCAACTCTTTGAAATCTGCTCTATAATTAGCAGGGGTACTATATCAACGGCAGGTTGTCTGGACCTGCAGAAATATGCTGACGGTTCTGATAATGAAAGACGAAAGAGGAGTAGAGGCTCTTGATCCTGTTCTAAAATCTGATCCAAGATCAGACGTCATTCTTTTCTTTGTGTGAATGATTTAAAGTCTTTGTTCGCCTTATGGAAAGAGATTGAGGCGAGTGTGTCACACCGCACATATTTAACTTAACAAAAATGGAATCACTAGTGAGAGCACAACGGATAAAATTTGATTTCACTCACTGATAAAATATTATCATTCCTACATTATCTGAAGCTCCATCGTGCATCCTGACATCGACTGCTATTGACCTCGAATGGGGTGTGCACTGACTCATTTTTGTGGCCTCACTTAGTAAATCAAAGTCCCAGTAATGGCCAGACTGGGTCAATGAAACGCAGATAGGGAATGGCAGTCAGCAGGCTAATGTGTTTTCCTGGTCTAAGTTTATAGTAGCATAGATGATGTGCTACTGCCGTCCACAGAAACTTTCATTCCGGGCTCCGGAGTGACATCGAAAGACAGAAAGGATGGTAACCGCATAGAGAGCTCAACCTTACTCAAGGGGTTGTTTAAGCGAGCGGAAAAGTTGCACAGTGGATAGCATAAAGCTCCTTTAAGCAAGTGAGAAACTGCATCTGCTGCAGGCCCTCCTCTATCCTTAAATGTTATGTCACATGTAGTGTGTGTCAAGCAAGGTATTGTATAAGCTGATTTCTTTGAGGTCTGACATTTAAGCTAAGTGCACCTGACAGTTACAAATGCACAACTGCAATTTTAAAGCAAACCTACTTACCCAGCTGTTTCAATAGTGTATACTTTAAGAATAAAATCTCATAACCAATGAGTGAACTGTGAATCTTACACACTTTTTCTTGGAGCCCATTGCTTTGAATTCAACATTTTATGCACATAATTATCCTATTTATGTAAAGATGTGACATAAAACCTTTTGCCATGTTTGGATCAAAGCATTTCGTCAGCGAGTGACAGTTTTTTTAGCTGCAGGTTTATGTTCTATTAGTACAACCTACAACACGTCAGGAACCGACAATATAATACTTTGAAGTCACAAGATTATCGTGTAAGACTAGTATGTGCACAGTTTGCAGCACTAATGCACAATGGATTTAACAGGATCCTGGTCTTGTATCCATGACGAGTATGACACGGTGCCAGCAATGTGAGGTGTTATTACTATCTCGTGCACTACTCTGTGTTTGGAGTTTTTCTCAGTGGATCTGTGAACACTTTCCTCTCTTTATACTGTGAGACAGTCTCTGGTGCAGTCTGTACGAGGAATGTGGTGAACTGCCAGCCATGTGCTCTCGGACCAGAAAAGCCAGAGGGCCACTTGCCGCCACAAGTATTACAGCTCCCCCTCCACACTGAGCCAGTGTAACTTAAAACCCAGCAGAGTGCTCTGACATGGGACTGCACTACAGAGCCTGGTCTGGCTGAGGAGCTCTGACGGTAGTCCAACGCAGACATTGATGGGGTGTCACAGGAGAGCTGTCCAAACACAGGGCTGAGGGATACATGCCAGGCTCCTGATGTGTATGTGTATGTGGGACTGTGTGTGTGTGTGTGTGCGTGTGAGAGGCCGAGGATAAGAGACAGGGGAAGAGAAGGAAAGTGTTTCGAATGGGTCTGGATAAACAGATTACCAAACAGAGACGACTTCTCGTTATTTTTCATACAGAACATTTAAAAGTTTACTGTTTGTTTAAAAGGATCTCTGTATTTAGTTGAACTCCACTGTATAAATAGCCATGTCAATCAATTATGGACACTAGAAGTATCACTTAAGTGTCTATATATGGACGGCTCTTGTACAGCTGGTGTTGTTGACAGAGAATAAAAGGCTCGATATGAGGAGGAGCAAAAGAGAAAGAGAAAGAGAGACGCTGCACTTCCAGCAAACCAACTCCTTTGACCTAAATGTGTCATCGCACCAGGCATTTAAAAATATGCCTGCATACAAACATTACCACAGAGGGAATAGGACAACAGCTACAGTATCACACACCAATATTACTGTGCCTGATACACTCCCGGACAAACTTCTTCTGAACAGCGAGGTGGCTCACGTGGTGGGACAGCGGTGGTGATACCTTACCAATGGGTCAACATCTGATTCTGCATTAATCCGGTGTGGCGAATGAATCTGCAGCTGTGTCCTTCAGCAGACCATCCGGGGACAAGTCACAGCCACGTCATAAAAGCCCACCCCCGCCCACTGAGCCCTCGGTGCCTTGAACTGCTCCATTTACACTAATTGTCATTCAGATGAGGGAGGGTTCTGTTGTTTAAGGCTGCCCCTGACACCATTAATATGAAAAGCACAATTAAGAGTAATTAGGCTTTTCCAGGCAAAAAAAAAAAATAAAAGGGAGGGGGGGGGGGGTTATCTGGTAACCTAGCACGCAGGACCTCCTGCACAACAACATGTAGCACGAAGG